CGCGTGCCTATAACCTGGGTGCAGCTGAGTGGGAAAAAAAACACGGGTGCAGAGTTTCTGAAATGTCCAAGGCAAATTCGCGCGCAGTGGTTGGGCATCATTTGTACACCTGATGCTCACCCCATGCACGCGAATTTGCCTTGCGCCGGATGGATACGCTGCACCCGAGGTTGTTTCCCCAGCCTCATGCACCTACATTACAAGCGCGTCGCGTGGTTATCAACCAATAGTAACGAACAGACCGAAGTCAAGCAGAATAGACTGAAGTCAAATATGGTAACAGATCTTGTATATAAGCACATGCGAATCCTTTTTAGCTAGCTGCGAATTGACGAAACTTAGCGAAATGCCTTGATACAGCTTATATGCCCCCTTCACGAGGCAACCGGGAGGGGCTCAAACAGGCATCAGGAGTATAGACATTCGCTCATGGAATGCCTGGTCCGTAAATAGCAGCGCGACGGAACCCCATGAGCTCCCGCACCATTTCTAGAACTGCTAGGGTGTACATATGATGCCCGACCAATGCACGCGAAATTGCCATGCACCGGATAGAAACGCTGCATCCGAGCTGGAAACCCCTGCTTGCTGCTCCCACAGTACAATCACATGGGTGGCTGGCAACAGTACACGCAACTCAGCCATCAATGCACGTTCATTCCCGAACAAGCCACGCCAACCCACTTTCCCTTTGTTTCTAGGCCTGGAGTCAGAGAGGCGAAATGAATGGACGAAACGACTATGGTTTCGTGAACGCATTCGCCCATAAGGGCCGCCACCTGAGCAAGGATCATCGTGCGTGTAACACGCATTTGGTCAGATTAACCCTGCCACGTGTATATCGGGACCTGCAAGGTACAAGCGCATTACCAGCCAGGCGTTGTTCGCCCGACCCACGTCAGACAATCGAGGGTGTGGTTACCAAACCAGTTGCTAAAAAATGCAAGCCAGGTGCATGGAACGAACACCAACCACACAAATGTGACATCCAACAAAGAACAGGCCCCAGTCTTGCACAGCACGCCCGACCTGTGATGATAAAATGTGTGCAACTAATTCACTAATTCACCTCTGTCTCTCACACCCCAGTCGCACACAATGCCCCGCTTTAACCGACGGGAGCAGCTCCCGCTGCATATCAAGCGCGCTATTTGCGTGCACCACGTAGACAACCCCCGCCTGCGTCATGTCCACCTGGCGAGGTGGTGTTACTCGCAGTTCGGATTGCGCCCAGATCGTTCCATTGTCGGCCGCGTCTTGAAGAGCGCCGAGCTATGGGATGTTACGGCTGGTGGCGACAACCAAATGCGACGTCGAGGTGGCGCATGGCCTGAGCTGGAGCAGGCCATGGCGCGGTGGATCGCAAACGCAGGGCCCGCTGGCGTGCCTTTGACGCTGCAGACCATCCGCGACCATGTCGCGACGATGGCACGGAACATGGGCATTCCGCCCACATTCCGATGCTCCATAGGCTGGGTGCGGCGTGCTTTGAGGCGCCAGGGAGTGAGGTGCCGGGCAGCACAAGGCGAGGCGGCTAGTGCGGACATGGCCGCCGTGCGCCACGCACGTGAGAAGCTGCCGCAACTCCTCACGCATCTCGGTGTCACCCCGCGGGACACGTTCAACATTGATGAGACGGCGCTCTGGTTGTCGGTCCTGCCTAGGCGCACGTACAGCAACGGTCGCATTCCGGGCCGCAAAATCTCGAAAGAGAGGCTCACCGTGGCATTCCTCGTCAATGCTGACGGGAGCCACGTCTTCCGACCGGTCGTTATCAGTAAGGCTAAGCGGTCGCACGACTTCCGCCCGGATTATGACCCGGAGTCCCTGTGCTACTGGCGGCACTACGCCAAAGGCTGGATGACCTCGCCGGTAAGGTCGTCGTTGTTCACAGTTTAACGGGTCCATGATGCTTCGCAAGTATTACGCGTAATAGCTCACCTAACTGTAATGTGTTAACGATTTCAAAATTCTCATGTACATTCCGCCTTCCCTCCCGCTCCCCTACATGCAGTTATTCACGCATTTCATATCGCAGCTCAATGCTGCCATGTACGCTGAAAATCGCAAGATTTTGGTGCTGCTCGACAACGCGAGCAGCCACATGCTCCGCTCACAGCTCGCGTGGAGCGAGATCGTCTGCGGGATGCGGACGACCTGCATGAGCAACGTGCGGCTCGTTTTCTTGCCGTCGAATACCACCGCATTCACACAACCGCTCGATCAGGGCATCATAGCCACCGTAAAAGCCCGCTACCAACAGCATTGGTTGCGGGCCTTCTCGGCCTTGTGGAACGGCGAGGGCGCGACTACCGCCGTCGCCCGTTTCCGCCCCAACTTGCGCGATGTCCTCGCGTGGCTGTCGGACGCGTGGATGTCTGTCGGCGAGCGCACCATTCAACGGTGCTGGTGGCGCACGGGGTGTCTGCCGCTGTCATGGTCCCTGGAGATGTCGCATGTACACGACGATGAGCCCACCCCTGCCGTCTACCCCGACATCGAGCTCGACGACGACATCGACGATGTCGGGACTCTCATCAGCGGGCTCGCACTCGGGAATACGGCGATGACGACCGCAGAGTACGTCGCCATCGACGACGGCGAGCCGACAAGCGCCGAGGGCGCTGAGGGACAGCCTGCGAATGAGCCGTGCTCGGGCGTAGACGCCGAGCTCTGGCAGGCGCCGACTACCGTTCTCGCCGTCTACGACGACGCCGACCCCGTGTGCCGCGAAGCGCGGCGCACTGCCCGGGCGGCATGCGAGATGCTTATAGGATACGCACGGGCCACCCGCATCACGCCGCGCGATCTGTGCCATCTATTCGATATACGCAACCCCATTATAATCGCGCGGATGGAGCGGGCTAGCCCGTCGATCAACCTCAACGTGGCGCCTCAGCCCGTACCCTCCCCGGGCGCAACTCCCACGCCCGAGACCCATCGTCCGCGCGGCCGTGTGCTGCCCGACTGGATGACCCGCCCGTCTCGCCGTCAGGAGCTGTTTGACGCCGGTGTGGGCGCCGTGATGGACGGGTATGTGGACGCGGCTGAGTGGATGCGTATGTGAGGGTGGGGGTGGAGCAGACTTTGCAAGGTGTCGAATGCATTTTGATGAGAGCCCAAGTGTTCACTGCTTGTGCACATTTGTGTGTGTTTCGGTTTGTGTGTTGAATGGAGACGAGCTCCCAGGTGGAGGATGTTGATTGGAAGGTGTTCGTGTTTTACCTGTTTTGTACTACGAAGAACAATTGTTGCACATGCTTCTTTCGGTACTGTAGCGTTCGTTTAGTAACCATAAACACACAACATGGACAAGTGCTGCAACCCCTTACTGTTGCAAATGAGACAAACAAGGTGGTTACCATGATCAGTTTTGAAGCACACTGGACGCCTGGCGAAATTCATGAATGCCCGCGAAATGCAGGTTTAGCTTACAGTCCCAGTTCAAAAGGCAACCGGGAGGGGCTCTAACGAGCATCAGGTGTACCGACCACAGACACTTGGATTTCAAAGCGGGCTTTGACCCTGACATCCCTGGAAAGACTGTTCCACTTCCTCTTCTCTCCCTCTCTCAACCAATCTTTCCCAACCGTTTCTGTGGAATGCGTATCTGAGGACGAGTCGTGCCTTCCCTGACTGTTTAGAACGTTGGAAACATGGTATGATCGTACACCACCGTATTGCCTGAAGTAGCTCACATCTCCTGACTTCTGCTTCCACGCTCTCTCATCCACTGAGCGGAGTTCCTTTTGGGTTCATGTACCAATTTTCAGAATGCTTAGCAGTGGTTCACAGCAATAAAGAGCCCCCAAGCTCGAAATGTATGTACACATGACACTCAACCCCTGCGCGTGAATTATCCCTTTACAGGATGGAAAGTCTGCGCCCGTGTTTTTTTACCAGCCAGTTGCACCTACATTACAGGCCCCTCGAGCCAGCTGCAGTGGTTATGAACCAATACGAACCACAGAAACCGAAGTCAAGCAGAAAAGACCGAAATCAAAATGTCAACGTGGAGTTACAGAGTTATTATATGCCCTTTTTTGCTAGGTGCGACGTTGATGAATGTTGCAAGCGGACCAGAGTGATTTAACAGCCCCCTTCACAAGGCGACCTTGGGCTAGTCAAACGAGCATCGCGTGTACTGTATCGCCCTTGGCTGCGTTGTCTGGACTGAGTAAAATCTCGCGACACGCCGACAGTGCAAGCTGACGAGAGCTTACTAAGCGATGTATTTCATCCTCCTTGACTTCCAAAATCTTCATGCTGTGCGTGATCGTAGTATGTTGAACTTGTTGAGTGGAAGCTTTTCTAACCCCAAATTGCCGTGCGAGGAGTCCGTAGCGCGGTTCGTTACAAAGAACTCGTGACTTCAGAATCCGAATCTACGCCTTTGTTCTTTGCTGGAAACGTGTTTGTGCCGCATCATAGTTTATCCGTCTTCAAGAGAATCCCGACTTGGGGCTCGTGCAAACATGTCTTTTGATCTTCAAAGCCGTCTCACAATTAGAATGACCCGAACTATATGCAGTGTACACGTCTGACTACTGTAGTACACGTTCTTAACTCGCTCATAATCCCGACGGAAACGCATTCTAGTACTGTCCACTTTCTTGCAAGGAGTAATTTCTAGGAGTATTTCCTAAAGAGAGTACCAGAGCTCGTTGTACGAGCATTACTATTGGCACTACCCCCTCTGCCGCGTCACGTACTTAGTACTAAGCAGGGCTGCCTCGCTTCAAACTCCTCGCCGTGTCGTTGACGCTGTGCTGGTGACAATGGTCGCAACACCAGTGATACTAGCTGCTGAATGCGACGAGATAGAAGCGTCGCTCGGCGACGGTTGCGGAGCGACGAAACAGTGCCACCACGACGCGTGCGACCACCACGCGACAGATTCCGCCATCGGCGACGGCCGCCGCGCTCTGACTGACACGGATTACGACCGTCGTGACGGCGATGACGAACCTTCGCAGAAGCTTCCGCCGCACGGCGAGGAGATGAACCTGTACACGGAGGCGTCCGCGTTTGAAGGCGCCGCGATAGTGGCGATGATTCAGCGGCGCGACGAGGAGGTGGGAACGGAGCAGAAGATCCTTCAGATCACCATGGAGGACGGAATCACGCTCTCCGTGGAGCTAGACCCCGCTGAGAAGCGCCTGAACGAGCTGGGCTACCGGCAGGAGCTCCACCGCTCCCTGGTGAGTTCTCGGCTCTCCCTGCCACTCAAAGTAAACGGAACAGAAAATTATTTGTCCCATCTCCCACCTCCCATCTGCCATCTGCCATCTGCCACCTCCCACCTCCCATCTGCCACCTCCCACCTCCCATCTGCCACCTCCCATCTCCCATCTCCCATCGCCCATCTCCCATCTCCCATCTCCCACCTCCCATCTGCCATCTGCCACCTCCCACCTCCCATCTGCCACCTCCCACCTCCCATCTGCCACCTCCCACCTCCCATCTCCCACCTCCCATCTCCCACCTCCCATCGCCCATCTCCCATCTCCCACCTCCCATCTCCCATCTCATCGCAAGCCCGTGTCCAACCCTCCAACCCCTCTCCTCCCCTCAGCGTCTCCTGGCGCCCTACGCAGTGGGCGTGTGCTTCATGACTGTCCCCATCCCCCCATCCCCCCATCCCCGTGCTTCAACTCTCAGCGTTTCCTCGGCCTCTACGCAGTGGGCGCCATTACGCGGCCTCTACACGGCGTGTCTTTCATGACTGTCCCCATTCACCCCCCATCTCTCCCTCTCCCCCCCATGCCCCCAACCTCTCTCCCTCCCCACAGCGTTTCCTCGGCCTCTACGCAGTGGGCGTGTCTTTCATGACTGTATTCGCCGGATTCGTCCCCACCTACGCGTACGTCCCTTTCCCTCCCCTCCCAATTCGCATGCCCCATGCATGCATGTTCGTACGTCCCCACCTACGCGTATGTCCCTTTCCTTCCCCTCCCCACTCGCATGATCCTGCGTGTAAGCCGTATAAAACAAGTACCAAGGGTAAAAACGATCGGCGCCCACCTTGGGCTATTTCGGTACTGGTGGATCACCGCCCTCTTCCCTCCCTTCTCCCCTTCCTATACCCTCCCCTCACTCGATTTTCACTCACGCTCTTCTCACTCTCTTCCTTGAACTCTGTACCAATGGACAAGGGTTCATCAACTGTGGGCCAGGGGGGCTCATCTGGTACTGGTGGATCACCGCCCACTTCGTCCCTCCTCTTTCCCCTCCCAATCCCCCCCACTCCCTCCCTCCTGTCCCCTGTCACTCGCCATTTCCTCTCCCTCGCTCCTCCATTCATTCCCTCCCCTCCCCCGTCCCTCCCCCTTCCCCTCCCCTGCTGCAGCCAGGGCTTCATCAACGGCGGCCCAGCAGGGCTCATCTGGTACTGGTGGATCACCGCCCTCTTCGTACACCTTATAGGCCTCTCCATGGCCGAGATAGCATCCTCGTTCCCAGTAAGACTACACCCTGTGTTACATTGTTTGGCAATCAGTGGTATCACAGATCACAGCCCTCTTCGTACACCTTATAGGCCTCTCCATGGCCGAGATAGCATCCTCGTTCCCGGTTAGAGAGTTTATTCTATGCTGCATTGTTGCCGGTCAGTGGTGCCACTCATAAACAACTTTCTTCGTCCACCTTATAGGCTTCTCCATGGCCGAAATAGCATCTCCATTTCCAGTGAAAGTACACTCTTTACTATACTGTTGTCAGTCAGTGGTGCCACTCATAACAATTCTCTCTGTCCACCTTATAAGCCTCTCCGTAGCCCAGATAGCCTCCTCTCATTCCCAGTAAGAAAGTAATGCTCCACTATCTTCTTTTACCACACTTTACCGCATTGCACTGCAACCAACACATCCACCCGCTTAACCATTGCATTCCTCCATCATTCATCATTCCCCCACTCACACACCAAGTTCACAATCTTTCGTGTCTCCAACCTAAAGGCGCGGCTTATCCACCTGTGACATGAAGAAAGCAGCCGCTGTGACATGAAGAGTTTTCCTAAGCTGCAGCTCGCCTAGTCTCATGGCTAAAGGGGCGGCTTAACTACCTTTCCTTTTGTGACATGAAAGACCAAGTGTGCCAGCCACCTGTCCTTGCCACCTGTCCTTGCCAGCTGTCCTTGCCACCTGTCCTTGCTACCTGTCCTTGCCACCTGTCCTTGCCACCTGTCCTTGCCACCTGTCCTTGCCACCTGTCCTTGCCACCTGTCCTTGCCACCTGTCCTTCTGATTTCACTATCCTCTTCCTCCAGACAGCTGGCTCGCTCTATTTCTGGGCGGCAGCACTGGCAGGGCCGAAGTGGGGCCCACTGGCTTCATTCATCACGGTGAGATGCGATCTGATTTGATTCACGGTGAGATGCGGTCTGATTTGATTCATGGTGAGATGCCATCTGATTCGATTTACAGTAAAACGCAATCTGGTTTTCCTAGTGCCCGTTGCGCTTGCCCTGCTCTGGCCGGGGTGGATGCTGCGTCTAGGCTTGTTTGTGTGCGAATGCGACTTTTGAGTCGACTCCAATTTTTTAGGCGCTTAAAAAATTGTGCGAATGCGACTTTTGAGTCGACTCAAACGTCTCTCATGCGCCGCTGTGTGACTGACTGATGCCGCTTGCCCGTTCTCCCCTGTGGCAGGGATGGATGGAGTTCCTGGGCCTGGCTGTGTGTCGAAGCAGCGTCTCTCATTGCTCCCCTGTGCTCCCCTGTGCTCCCCTGTGCTCCCCTGTGCTCCCCTGTGTTCCCCTGTGCTCCCCTGTGCTCCCCTGTGCTCCCCTGTGCTCCCCTGTGCTCCCCTGTGCTCCCCTGTGCTCCCCTGTGCTCCCCCGTGCTCCCCTGTGCTCCCCCGTGCTCCCCCATGCCCCCCCATGCTCCCCCATGCTCCCCCGTGCTCCCCTGTGCTCCCCCGTGCTCCCCTGTGCTCCCCTGTGCTCCCCTGTGCTCCCCTGTGCTCCCCTGTGCTCCCCCGTGCTCCCCCATGCTCCCCCATGCTCCCCCGTGCTCCCCCGTGCTCCCCCATGCTCCCCCGTGCTCCCCTGTGCTCCCCTGTGCTCCCCTGTGCTCCCCTGTGCTCCCCTGTGCTCCCCTGTTCTCCCCTGTGCTCCCCCGTGCTCCCCTGTGCTCCCCTGTGCTCCCCTATGCTCCCCTGTGCTCCCCTGTGCTCCCCCGTGCTCCCCTGTGCTCCCCCGTGCTCCCCCATGCTCCCCCATGCTCCCCCATGCTCCCCCATGCTCCCCCATGCTCCCCCGTGCTCCCCTGTGCTCCCCTGTGCTCCCCTGTGCTCCCCTGTGCTCCCCCGTGCTCCCCTGTGCTCCCCTGTGCTCCCCTGTTCTCCCCTGTGCTCCCCCGTGCTCCCCTGTGCTCCCCTGTGCTCCCCTGTGCTCCCCTGTGCTCCCCTGTGCTCCCCTATGCTCCCCTGTGCTCCCCTGTGCTCCCCTGTGCTCCCCTGTGCTCCCCTGTGCTCCCCCATGCTCCCCCATGCTCCCCTGTGCTCCCCTGTGCTCCCCCGTGCTCCCCTGTGCTCCCCCGTGCTCCCCCATGCTCCCCCATGCTCCCCCATGCTCCCCCGTGCTCCCCCATGCTCCCCTGTGCTCCCCTTTGCTCCCCTGTGCTCCCCTGTGCTCCCCTGTGCTCCCCTGTGCTCCCCCGTGCTCCCCCATGCTCCCCCATGCTCCCCCATGCTCCCCCGTGCTCCCCCATGCTCCCCCGTGCTCCCCTGTGCTCCCCTGTGCTCCCCTGTGCTCCCCTGTGCTCCCCTGTGCTCCCCTGTGCTCCCCTGTGCTCCCCTGTGCTCCCCTGTGCTCCCCTGTGCTCCCCTATGCTCCCCTGTGCTCCCCTGTGCTCCCCTGTGCTCCCCTGTGCTCCCCTGTGCTCCCCCATGCTCCCCCATGCTCCCCTGTGCTCCCCTGTGCTCCCCCGTGCTCCCCTGTGCTCCCCCGTGCTCCCCCATGCTCCCCCATGCTCCCCCATGCTCCCCCGTGCTCCCCCATGCTCCCCTGTGCTCCCCTTTGCTCCCCTGTGCTCCCCTGTGCTCCCCTATGCTCCCCCGTGCTCCCCCATGCTCCCCCATGCTCCCCCATGCTCCCCCGTGCTCCCCCATGCTCCCCCGTGCTCCCCTGTGCTCCCTTGTGCTCCCCTGTGCTCCCCTGTGCTCCCCTGTGCTCCCCTGTGCTCCCCTGTGCTCCCCTGTGCTCCCCTGTGCTCCCCTGTGCTCCCCTGTGCTCCCCTGTGCTCCCCTGTGCTCCCCTGTGCTCCCCCGCTCCCCTGTACTCCCCTGTGCTCCCCTGTGCTCTGGCAGGGGTGGATGGAGTTCCTGGGCCTGGCAGTGTGTGGCGCCAACGTCTCTTATGGAGGCTCCATTATTCTGCAAGTGCTCATCCTCATCTCAACAGGTACACTCACTCACATTGCCGGATTAAACACACACACACACACACACACACACACACACACACACACACACACACACACACACACACACACACACACACACGCACGCACATACACGCACACGCACATGCATGCGCACACGCACACGCACACGCACATGCACACGCACACACACGCACACGCACACGCACACACACGCACACGCACATGCATGCGCACGTTGATGAGATGAATATACACGGTCGGTTGGAATCTCTGGGGTTTCACATACACATGCAGAGTTGCGCTGAATAAGGCGAAGAGTTTTGGGGAAGGATGGTGTGCACATGCATACTGGGGAAGGGGATGGTGTGCACATGCACACTGGGGAAGGGGATGGTGTGCACATGCATACTGGGGTTTCCATCCATTGGTATACGCACGTGCCATGCAGTGCCATGTGTCATGCCATGCTGTCACATGCCATACCATACCATACCATACCATACCATACCATACCATACCATACCATACCATACCATACCATACCATACCATACCATACCATACCATACCATACCACACCACACCATACCATACCATACCATACCATACCATACCAAGCCACCGCATGCCATCTCATGCCATCCCTTGCCATTCCATGCCATACCTCCCTGCCACCCAAACACCAGGCGGTGCTGATGGGGGTGGGTACCTCCTCAGCAAGTACGCTGCCTCTGCCATTACATGCCATGCCATCCTGCCTTCCTTTTCCCTGCAACCCATATAACAGGCGGTGCTGATGGGGGTGGGTACCTCCTCAGCAAGTACGCTGTTTTCGCCATTGCGTGCGGCTTTGTGCTTATCTGCTTCCTCATCAACTGCTTATCAGTGCGCACTGTAGCAACAGTCATGGTCGTCTCTGCTGCCATTCAGGTGAATCCTCAAAAATGGAACCTTGTTACCATGTTATTTTGAAAGAAGAGTGTATCTGAGACGTCTCAAGGACACTCTGAAATGGAACCTTGTTGCCATATTACTAAACTTCTTAGGTCACATACCAGCAGTGATGCTCACGCCTTTGACTTTCCCGGTTCTCCTCTTCTGGCCTTTCCCCTTTACCCTCATATAGCCACGTGTAGGAAGGGTGTTTTTTGAGACGTCTCAAAAACACCCTCTCTACATGTCACTTTGACATTCCCGTTTCTCCTCTTCTGGCCTTTCCCCTTATACCCTCACATAGCAGTAGAAGTCGTGGTCATCGTCATGCTGATTCTAGGGACATCCACCCACCCATCAGACCCTTGTCTCGCCCTCATCCCGCCCTCATCCCGCCCTCATCCCGCCCTTATCCCGCCCTCATCCCACCCTTATCTCCCGTTCGCCCCATGTATCGCAGATAGCAGCAGCAGTGGTGCTCATCGTCATGCTGCCTCTAGTGGCGCCCACCCATGAGCCCGCATCCTGGGTGTTTGGGGACTTTGGCAACAACAGAGACATCACACTCACGCCCAGCAATGTGAGTCTGGACACGCTCGGTCAGAAAACATACAGCCTACCAGCGTTGTGAGTTTTTTCACGCACTTTGGGTCTACGCACGTGGGGTCCACGCACGTGGGGTCTACGCACGTGGGGTCTACGCACGTGGGGTCTACGCACGTGGGGTCCACGCACGTGGGGTCTACGCACGTGGGGTCTACGCACTTGGGGTCTACGCAGTGAGAAAGTCGATTTGTCTCAAGGAGATATGACTTCTCAATTTGTGTCAATTTGTGCCAATTTGTGTCAATTTGTGTCAATTTGTTTCCGTTGTCACAACTCCTCTTGCTCCCTCCCGGACCTACTCCCGGACCCACACCCTATCCACCCCCCTTCATCAGGCCTGCTCCTTCCTCATCACTCTCTTCGTCTCCCAGTGCTTCCTCAACAGCTACAACTGCTTGTCTCGGCTGCTAAACAGCCCCCGTTCCCTCCTCTCCCTCCTCTCCCTCCTCTCCCTCGTCCTCCTCCTGTCCCTCGTATTCTCCTGCCCCCATCCTTTCCAGGCCTATTCCTTCCGCAGCACGCTCCTCGCATCCCAGTACTCCCTCTACGGCCACGACTGCGTCTCTCGGGCTGCTGAACTGTCTTCATTCCCTCCTCTCCCTCGTATTGTCCCTCTTCTCCCTCCCCTTGCCCCTCTTCCCAGGCCTACTCCTTCCCAGGCCTACTCCTTCCTCATCACGCTCCTCGTCTCACAATACTACCTCTACGGCTACGACTGCTTGGCGCACCAGTCCCCATTCCCTCCTCTCCCAACTCCCCTCCTATTCTCCCGCCCCTCATCCTTCCCTCCCTCCCAGGCCTATTCCTTCCTCATCACTCTCCTTGTCTCCCAATGCTCCCTCAAATCCTACAACTGTGTGTCTTGGACTGCTAACACGTCCCCATTCCCGCTTCTTCCACTTCTCCCTCCTCTCCCTACTCTCGTTCTTACTGTCCTGCCCAGGCCTATTCCTTCCTCATCACCCTCCTCGTGTTCCAGTACTCCCTTTATGGCTATAAAACAACCGTTACTTATCAACCCCCTTCCCCTCTCTATCCCTCTCCTCCTTCCTCTTCTCCCACCGTCACCCTACCAATCCTCCTTCCCCAGGCCTATTCCTTCCTCATCACTCTCCTCGTCTCCCAATACTCCCTCTACAGCTACGACTGCGTCTCTTGGGCGTCTAACACGTCCCCATTCCGTTCTCTCCCTCCTGCCTCTCCTTTCCCTCCTCTTGCACCCGCCCAGGCCTACTCCTTCCTCATCACTCTCCTCGTCTCACAGTACTCCCTCTACGGCTACGACTGCGTGGCGCATCTCGCAGAAGAGACAAAGAAGGCCGACCGGACGGCGCCGCTCGCAATCATGTCCTCTCTGACCACAGTGACCGTGCTGGCGTGGCTGCTCGTGGTGGTGCTGACGTGGAGCATCCAGGATCCAGCTCATCTGTTCGTGGCGGAGAGTGTGACAGGTGGCATGCAACCAGTGGTGCAGATCATGTGGGACGTGTTTTACACTCGGTAAGAATGAAGGGTGGGGCGGGGAGGATGGGAGGGGGGGGGGGGAAGGAGATGGGGGGACGCGGGAAAAGGGGAATTACGGAAGGAGAAGGAAGATGGATGTTGTCTTGCACTCGCTCTTACTAACATGCCGGTACTGAAAGAATGCACTGAAAAGAAGTTTCTGTCCCGTGGCACTTGCAAGCCAAGTTTTCCCTGCCACCCCAGCCACCAGGAATGCACTTGCAAGAATAGAGGTCTTTGTCCCATGGCACTTGCAAGAAAAGAGGTCTTTGTCCCATGGCACTTGCAAGAAAAGAGGTCTTTGTCCCATGGCACTTGCAAGAAAAGAGGTCTTTGTCCCATGGCACTTGCAAGAAAAGAGGTCTTTGTCCCATGGCACTTGCAAGAAAAGAGGTCTTTGTCCCATGGCACTTGCAAGAAAAGAGGTCTTTGTCCCATGGCACTTGCAAGAAAAGAGGTCTTTGTCCCATGGCACTTGCAAGAAAAGAGGTCTTTGTCCCATGGCACTTGCAAGAAAAGAGGTCTTTGTCCCATGGCACTTGCAAGAAAAGAGGTCTTTGTCCCATGGCACTTGCAAGAAAAGAGGTCTTTGTCCCATGGCACTTGCAAGAATAGAGGTCTTTGTCCCATGGCACTTGCAAGAAAAGAGGTCTTTGTCCCATGGCACTTGCAAGAAAAGAGGTCTTTGTCCCATGGCACTTGCAAGAATAGAGGTCTTTGTCCCATGGCACTTGCAAGAAAAGAGGTCTTTGTCCCATGGCACTTGCAAGAAAAGAGGTCTTTGTCCCATGGCACTTGCAAGAATAGAGGTCTTTGTCCCATGGCACTTGCAAGAATAGAGGTCTTTGTCCCATGGCACTTGCAAGAAAAGAGGTCTTTGTCCCATGGCACTTGCAAGAAAAGAGGTCTTTGTCCCATGGCACTTGCAAGAAAAGAGGTCTTTGTCCCATGGCACTTGCAAGAAAAGAGGTCTTTGTCCCATGGCACTTGCAAGAAAAGAGGTCTTTGTCCCATGGCACTTGCAAGAAAAGAGGTCTTTGTCCCATGGCACTTGCAAGAAAAGAGGTCTTTGTCCCATGGCACTTGCAAGAAAAGAGGTCTTTGTCCCATGGCACTTGCAAGAAAAGAGGTCTTTGTCCCATGGCACTTGCAAGAAAAGAGGTCTTTGTCCCATGGCACTTGCAAGAAAAGAGGTCTTTGTCCCATGGCACTTGCAAGAAAAGAGGTCTTTGTCCCATGGCACTTGCAAGAAAAGAGGTCTTTGTCCCATGGCACTTGCAAGAAAAGAGGTCTTTGTCCCATGGCACTTGCAAGAAAAGAGGTCTTTGTCCCATGGCACTTGCAAGAAAAGAGGTCTTTGTCCCATGGCACTTGCAAGAATAGAGGTCTTTGTCCCATGGCACTTGCAAGAAAAGAGGTCTTTGTCCCATGGCACTTGCAAGAATAGAGGTCTTTGTCCCATGGCACTTGCAAGAAAAGAGGTCTTTGTCCCATGGCACTTGCAAGAAAAGAGGTCTTTGTCCCATGGCACTTGCAAGAATAGAGGTCTTTGTCCCATGGCACTTGCAAGAATAGAGGTCTTTGTCCCATGGCACTTGCAAGAAAAGAGGTCTTTGTCCCATGGCACTTGCAAGAAAAGAGGTCTTTGTCCCATGGCACTTGCAAGAAAAGAGGTCTTTGTCCCATGGCACTTGCAAGAAAAGAGGTCTTTGTCCCATGGCACTTGCAAGCCTTCGCACACCCTTCCCACCTCCCCCCACCCCCTCACTTCCAGTCACTGCAGTTACTATGGTCATCTGCACTTGGTTCTTCCTCCTACCCTTCCCAATTACCCTCCCCTCTCCTCTACTTTTCCGCTTCTCTCTTCTCTCCTCCCCGCACCTCTTCCTCCCCCAACCCCCCCGCAGTTACGGCTCTGGGTTGGGAGCGCAGGTCTTTACAGTCGTCATCTGCATCTCTTTCTTCGGAGCAACTCTTTCATGCCAGCTGGGGGCATCTCGTGTGGTGAGTAGGCTGAATGCTGCTGTGCGGTACTGTGTGGTGCTGTGTGGTGCAGCAAGCACTGTGTACCATCTGTGCTACTGAGCGATCAAGAGTTCTCAAATGCGACTGCGTTCTTCGGAGCCACGCCACTCTCTCGTGCCAAATTGGGCCATCTCGTGTGGTGAGTCGGCTGCGTGTTGCTGCGTGCTGCTGCGTGTTGCTGCGTGCTGCTGCGTGCTGCTGCACAGAGTGCGTTCCTGTACTGTGGGCTACTGAGTGAGTGATCAAGGGTTTTTGAAAACGATTGTGTTTCTTCGGAGCCACTTTCTCGTGTCAGCTGGGGGCATGTCGTGTGGTGAGAGGGCAGTGTGGGACCTCTCAAACCTTGTTCCAGTGTGGGACCTCTCAAACCTTGTTCCAGTGTGGGACCTCTCAAACCTTGTTCCAGTGTGGGACCTCTCAAACCTTGTTCCAGTGTGGGACCTCTCAAACCTTGTTCCAGTGTGGGACCTCTCAACCCCACTCTTCTCCCCCCCTTTTCCCTCCTGGTCAAACACCCCCCCACGCCTACTCCACACCCCCCCACGCCTACTCCACACCCCCCTAGCAGCCTCTCCCTTCCCCTTGCTCTGGCGGCGCCTGGCATCAAACCGTCAGAGCCAGGCATCTTCCACGCTCTGCTCCACGCTCTGCTCTTATTTTGAGTCGACTCAAAACACGAGTCGACTCAAAACACGAGTCGACTCAAAACACGACTCAAAACACGAGTCGACTCAAAACACGAGTCGACTCAAAACACGAGTTGGCTCAAAACACGAGTCGACTCAAAACACGAGTCGACTCAAAACACGAGTCGACTCAAAACACGAGTCGGCTCAAAACACGACTCAAAACACGAGTCGACTCAATACATCAAACCGTCAGAGCCAGGCATCCTCCACGCTCTTCTTCGGCCTCGCTTCCATCTCCACCATCGCTTGGATCTCCCCCACCACCCCACCCCCCTTCCCCCTTTCCCCGCCCCCCTGCCCTCTACTCTCACAGGCCTATGCCCTAGCTAGGGATGGTGGCCTGCCCTTCTCCTCGCTCTGGCGCTGCTTGGCACCCAACCGAGTGCCAGTGTGACCACTGACACTCTCCGTGTTCGTCGGGCTGCTCTTCCTGCTGCCTGTGCTCGCCTCCTCCACGCTCTTCTCCACAATCGCTTGGATCCTCTCCCCCACTCCCCACCCCCTACTCCCCCAGGCATATGCCCTGGCTAGGGATGGTGGCCTGCCCTTGTCCTCCCTCTGGCGACGATTGGCACCCAACCGCGTTCCAATATGGGCACTCACGCTCTCCGTGCTCGTGGGGCTGCTCTTCCTACTGCCCGTGCTCGCCTCCTCCACGCTCTTCTTCGCCCTCGCATCCATCTCCACCATTGCTTGGATCTCCGCCTACTCCATCCCCATCCTCTTCCGCACCCTGCAAGATGAGAGAAATTTTCCGCCCGGCCCGTTTTATCTGCCCAACTACGTCGGGTTCACCGCTGGGTAGGTGAATCGAAAAGAAAAAAAAAAGAAAAAAAAAAGGTTTGGAAGGGGTGAGGGGGAGGAGAGGAGTGAAGAGGGGTGGGGTGGAGGGGAGGTGTGGATGGGAAAGGGCAACGACAGGTGAGGCCAAGGTATTGACACCTTAGTATTGGTCTGACATACATGGCTAGTTCCCATTGCCCCTCGTTTCACATCTCCTTACATTTTGCAGTGAAAATTAATTCCTCATTCTGCATCCCCCACACCCCCTTCTAATCGTTTTTACAGGAAAATGGTCCACGTGGTTGCTCTGCTCTGGGTGCTCTACACCCTCGTCGTATTCAACCTCCCGACGATGTTTCCTATCACGGTGGAGAATTTCAATTGGGCACCGGTCGCCATAGCTGTGTGGATGAAGATGTTTATTGCGTGGTGGCTGCTGCATGCTAGGTATTGGTTCAAAGGCCCTGTTAGAGAATTTGAACCTGTTGATGAAAATTCTGTAACAAAATAAATCAGAGATGAGTTATGACTTTTTTCATATGAAGTTGCTTATGTATATATGTTACGGGTGCAATGAATCGAGGTAGCGAGGATTGCACCAAGTGTCAATTATAAATTTTAAACACAATGATGTTTTTCAAAATTGTGTAATGCCTATACCGAATATTTGGCAGCATCGAAGCGAAGCGTGCTTAACGCCCTTCTCCAACTACACAAACCGTGGGTTGGAGTTCATTCCCTCCACCCACGTTTCTCGTTTTCCAACGGCTCAATCAACATCCCCACCACCCACCCCGGACCAATTACAGGACCAGAGCTGCTTGGACGGACGACTTGTCAAACTCATATGATATAGTCTGTGTAGGCTGTAGTGGGGTAGACAATATGGGTTACAACACTTTTAGGTTTTCCTACTTGTACCCACCTGTTTGCCAGTGCACTCATTCCTCGTTCTTTCACATGGTATAGAGCAGGTTCCCTAGTGGGAACGTTTCCTAGGGCCCACCGAATATCGATTTTTTTTGCTGCCCGGAGCGCGCTTCGCCCCTGCCCGAGTCGCGCCCCGTGTGCCTACCCTCCCGTCGCGTCCCCTGCCCTTAGTGGCCCGTCGCGCTCCCCTACGGCCCCGTAGCGGCCCCTCTCACGGCCTCTCACGACCCCTCTCACGGCCCTTCGCGACCCCTTCAGGCCCCTCGTGGCCCCTTCGCGGCCTCCCTTCGCGGCCCCTTCGCGGCCCCTTCACGGCCCCTTCGCAGCACCTTCACGGCCCCTTCACGGCCCCTTCACGGCCCCTTCGCGGCCCCTTCACGGCCCCTTCGCGGCACCTTCACAGCCCCTTCACGGCCCCTTCACGGCCCCTTCGCGGCCCCTTCACGGCCCCTTCGCGGCCCCTTCGCGGCCCCCTTGCGACCCCCTCACGGCCCCTTCGCGGCCCCTTCGCGGCCCCTTCACGGCCCCTTCGCAGCCCCTTCGCCGCCCCTTCACGGCCCCCCTCGCGGCCCCCCTAAAGGCTCCCTTTGCGGCCCCTTCTCGGCCCCCTCGCGGCCCCCCTCGCGGCCCCTTTGCGGCCCCTTCGCGGCCCCCTCACGGCTCCCTTCGCGGCCCCTTCGCGGCCTCGCCCCGTCGCCAGTCGCGGCCCCGCCGCGTCGCACCCGCCTCGTCGCGTCGCCCCTGCGGGACCCGCGAGGCGCGGCTCCTGTGCGTCGCGACGCCCCTGCGGGACCCGCGTGGCGTCACCCCTGCCCGCCTCGGCGCCCTGCCCTAACCTGAACCTGGAGCAGCCGCCACTGCAGCAGCCGCCCCTGGAGCAGCCGCCACTGCAGCAGCCGCCCTTGGAGCAGCCTCCCCTGCAGCAGCCGCCCCTGAAGCAGCCGCCCCTGGAGCAGCCGCCCCTGAAGCAGCCGCCCCTGGAGCAGCCGCCACTGCAGCAGCCGCCCCTGGAGCAGCCACCCCTGCAGCAGCCGCCCCTGGAATAGCCGCCCTTGCAGCAGCTGCCTCTGGAGCAGCCGCCACTGCAGCAACCGCCCCTGGAGCAGCCGCCACTGCAGCAGCCGCCCCTAGAGCAGCCGCCACTGCAGCAGCCGCCCCTGGAGCAGCCGCCACTGCAGCAGCCGCCCCTGGAGCAGCCGCCCCTGCAGCAGCCGCCCTTGGAGCAGCCGCCACTGCAGCAGCCGCCCCTGGAGCAGGCTCCCCTGCAGCAGCCGCCCCTGGAGCAGCCGCCCCTGAAGCAGCCGCCCCTGAAGCAGCCGCCCCTAGAGCAGCCGCCCCTAGAGCAGCCGCCCATGGAGCAGCCGCCACTGCAGCAGCCGCCCCTCGAGCAGCCACCCCTGAAGCAGCCGCCCCAGGAGCAGCTGCCACTGCAGCAGCCGCCCCTGGAGCAGCCACCCCTGCAACAGCCGCCCCTGGAACAGCTGCCCCTGCAGCAGCCGCCCCTGGAGCAGCCACCCCTGCAGCAGTCGCCCCTGGAGCAGCCGCCACTGCAGCAGCCGCCCCTGGACAGCCACCCATGCAGCAGCCGCCCCTGGAGCAGCCGCCCCTGCAGCAGCCGCCCCTGGAGCAGCCGCCCCTGGAGCAGCCGCCCCTACAACTGCTGTCCCTGGAGCAGCCGCCCCTGCAGCTGCCGCGGAGCCCTCGCCCTACAGTGGTAGCGGGCTCGCCGTTCCCGCCGTCGTACGCTTGCCCTTCTCGCCACTGGTGAGCACTGCCCTGCCCGTACTACTGTTAGTGCTGCTCTTGCTGCTACTGCTGCTCCTGGCGTGGCCAGATGCAGCTCCAGCGTCGTCCGCGTGAGTCCCTCACCCCCCAACAGCTTCGTGAGTGGTACGCTAGTTGGGGTTATAGGGGTGGCCGCGCTGCGACTACTGCTATTGCTACTGCGGCTACCACTGCTCCTGCTGCTCCTGGCGGTGGCCAGATGCAGCTCCAGCGACGTCCGCGTGAGTCCCTCACGCCCCAGCAGCTTCGTGATTGGTACGCTACTTGGGGTTGTCGGGGTGGCCGTAGTGGGAGTCGTCCAGGAGTGAGTAGTTTGGTAGCTGCTTGTAGTGGCCAGGTGCAGCTGCAGCGTCGTCCGTGCGCGGTCCTTTCGCCCCAGCAGCTTCGTGAGTGGTACGCTCAGCGTGACGGGTCACGGGGTACTGCTCGCTGTCCGTACGTCATTCGCACTGGTGCTCGGACTGGTCAGCCTTGCGAGACGTTTGGTCACGCAGAGTCCCGCTACTTCGCCCGTCTGAGCGACGCCTGGCGTACGGAGTTTGGCGACGCGACTGAGCTCCCCGACTGGGTGGAGCTGCTTAGGCTGCGGGTGGATATCTATACTCTTGACTATGATGCTATCCTCACTGCCATGTATGCATTGCCTACTAGTGATGAGGGTGACTATTACCTTTGTGTTCCGCCTGACCCGAGCATTGAGGCTGCTGCTCTAGGTGCTGGTGAGGCTGCTGCTCTAGGTGCTAGTGCGTCTGCTGCCCCAGGTGCTGGTGAGTCTGCTCTCTCAGGTACCACGTCGGCTCAGGCCTTACACACCTTCACCCTTGACTCGGGTGCTTCCCGCTCCTTTCGAGACCGCACCACGCTTACGCCGCTTATTCGGCCAGTTGCGGTCTCCCTGGCGGACCCCTCTGGGGGTCCTGTCCTTGTCCCACTTCTCCACTGTCTTGCCGTATCCGGCAGCCCCCTCTGGCACCCTGTCAGGTCTCTACCTCCCCTCGTTCTCTACAAACTTGGTGAGTGCTGCTGATCTACAGGATGGGGGGGTGGACCAGTTCACTCCTGCGAGTCAGCGGGTGACCCACTGTACGTGTGCTCGGACGGGCCGACACTTGGCCACGTTTACCCGTCGGCCAGGGTTGAGCCTGTACACACTGACTACTGAGTCTCCTCCGGTTGCTGAGTCTGGTCAGGTAGCTGCGTCGGGTCAGGTGTTTGCTGCTGCGTCCAGGTCTGGTCCTGAGTCTGCTCCCTGCTCGTGTCATCTCCTGTCCCACCAGACTCTCCTCTGGCACCACCGCCTTGGTCACCCCTCCCTGCCTCGTCTCCGAGGCATGGCCTCCCGTGTCCTTGTCTCTGGTCTCCCCCGGTCCCTCCCTCCCCTACCTCCGGGGCCTGCCCCTACCTGCGTTCCCTGCGTCGAGGGGCGGTAGCGCGCCGCCCCCTCACTCCTCCGAGTTTCCTCCGACAGAGGCTCCGCTTTAGACTCTTTACATGGACGTGTGGGGCCTTGCCCGCGTCCGTGGCCAGGGTCACGAGCGTTACTTCCTGTTGGTGGTTGACGACTACTCGCGTTACACCACGGTGTTCCCCTTGCGCAGCAAGGGTGACGTAACTGAGGTGTTGATCGACTGGATCTGGCAGCTCGTCTCCAGCTCAGAGAGAGTTTCGGCTCGGACTTTCCTGTTCTGCGTCTGCACTCTCACAGGGGCGGGGAGTTTTCCTCTGCCCTTCTGGGAGCCTTCTGTCATGCACAGGGCATCCGCTAGACCTTCACGCTTCCGGCCTCTCCACAGAAAAATGGGATTGCTGAGCGCCGCATTGGCATGGTCATGGACGTCGCTCGTACGTCCATGATCCATGCGGCTGCTCCCCAATTTCTGTGGCCGTTTGTGGTTCAGTACGCAGCGCATCAGATCAACCTTCAGCCCCGGGTCTCCTTGCCAGAGACCTCCCCCACCTTGCGGTGGATGGGGAAGGTTGGTGATGCGTCTGCGTTTTGTGTCTGGGGATCTCGGGCGTTTGTCCGCGACTTGTCTGCGGACAAGCTGTCCCCCCGTGCTGTTCCCTGCGTCTTCCTTGGCTTCCCCTTTGACGCACCTGGTTGGCAGTTTTACCACCCCACCTCGCGCCATGTTCTGTCCTCCCATGACGTCACCTTTGACGAGTCGGTGCCTTACTACCGTCTCTTCCCCTACCGCACTGCGCCCCTCCCCTCGCCACCGCTCTTCCTTGCGCCAGGTCCCCCCCCGGTAGACCCCCTCCCCCCTCAGGGTCCTGCCCCGTCAGGTGTGTCCCAGGTAGACGCAGTCGAGCCTGTCGAGGTAGCTGTTGACTCTGGTGCTGCTAGGGGTGCTGAGCCTGGGGGTGCTAAGTCTGGGGGTGCGGAGCCTGGGGGTGCGGAGCATGGGGGTGTGGAGCCTGGGGGTACGGAGCCTGGGGGTGCTGAGCCTAGGGGTGCGGAGCCTAGGGGTGCTGGGTCAGCTCGTGTGGCCTCTGACGGTGCTGGGTTTGGGGTCCCTTCGGGTGCTTCGTCGAGGCTGGAGCTACCCTCTCCACAGGAGCTGCGCGAGTGGTTTGCCCAGCGCTAGAGCCGTGCTGCTGGAGCTGGAGGTGCTGCTGTTACTGCTGACTTTGGGGTCGGCACTCGAGTTACTGGAGCCACTGGTCTTGGAGGTGCTCGTACTGGCGGTACTGGAGCTGCTGGGACTGGGGGTGCTGCAGGGGTTGCTTGAGTTGGTCCTGCTGGAGGTACAGCTAGAGCTGCTGGCGGTACTGGAGCTGAGGGTCCTGCTGGAG